TTCATACATCATGAAAAACATTTATAGTATTCTACCCTATCAAAAATTTACTCTCAAAAATAGAATCATGCAATTAGGATTTTTTAATTGTCATTCAACAAATTCATAAATAAATTAAATTAGATGTAATACAGCCTTAGATATATACAATGATGATTTTCTGGAATATTCTATTCCCATCTTCCAAACGATTCTTTTCTGCGATATTCTGACAAAAATGAGTGTTCTGCTTTTGAATAAATAGTTCAATGAGGCTAGAAATTCATCAAACTGGTGAGGTTTCACGCGAAAGTAATTGAAAGAAATTTTGTTTCGTTCAAGCGCATTTCTTCAATTAAATTATTTGCATCTCCTTGCTGCAGTGATCTCTCACATATTAGTATAAACCACTGCATTCTGCTTCTCTTACACAAAGCAAGAAGTAAAATAAGTTTTAATCGAGCAGAAATTAAATCCATTTTAATTTTAAAATGTAATCGTACCACACAAAAATTTCACTTTTCCCCCCAAGTTTCTGATATGAAGAGCTATCTAGGGCGAGTATATGACAACTTTTAAAGAGAACGTTGCCGCGCTCATGTGAACTGACGTCCGCTGAAAGCGTTTTTTTCCACGTTGCCACTCTCCGCCCCAAAAGGACCACTGTGAACGCAGATTAAACTTCTTACGCGGTGTTTTCTAAACAGCGCCACACACATGATCGGTCGTATAGCATACAGCCCTTCATATTTCAAAACTTTTATTTACATTACTTTTCTCTGGACAGCGCCACACAGATGATCGGTTTGATATCATAGAGCCCTTCATAATGCAAACTTTACTTTCTTTTAACCTACGCTAGCTCTCGGACATTCTGCCATTCCGAGAGGAGATTCTCAGTATAGGCTGGACGTGACTATATACTGCGAGTGCGGTTTGTTGGCAAGCCCACTGCAGCATCGCAAATATTCTCCGTCTGTTCTTCCAACCTCACAGAGCGGGCATGCGCTGCAAGTAGGCTTGGAAATAGTCGTATTCCGTGCGCAGCCTGAGTTTTGTCATGGAGAGTGAATAATTCAAGTCTCTAGATACAATCTGATGAGATTTCCTGATACTTATTCCACAAAAGAAAAGGTTAGCGAGTTTTTAGGCGGTGTAGCATGCATTACGTTTAGTTGTTACCGCTAAATATCAATCGTTTTGTACAGTCGCGCACTGTATGTAATAAGCGGTGAGTCGCAAACACATTCAGTTGTTTGGAATGCTGCTCAAAGTTTAGAGACAATAAGAGTGTAGTGTTCCTCCCTTTTATCTATTAACTAAGTGTGGAGGAACCTAGTGAACTACTAAGCGAATAATCGCTTAAGTCCAGAAAGAGAAACGTAAAACTCAAGAAGGGTTTATTACTCTTTATTGCTCAAATTAAAAGTGTACAGACGGTCCCTTTCTCAGGACGTACAACTAAGCCTCCACTTGGGCTTAAACTCAAAAATATAAGAACTTAACTAATAACTAACTGAAGAGATTTAGCCGAGGCTAATACAATTTCTAACTAGTTGATTCTTAATATTAAATTAGCTAGCGAAGCTATCCAGGTCACGTAATACGGCCGAGCGTAATCAAAGGAGCTTCAACTTAAATACTACTCCTACTCATTTGCAAATTAGGGCAATTCTAGAAGCTCATTCTGGTAAAGAATTATAAGCTGAAATTAGGAGAGACCGGAATTGTTTATAAACTTAGGATAAACCTTACAAGCGACTTCAAATTATTGCAATATTGATGACTCAAAGCCTTTTTTTTTTTTAAGTTTTCCTTAGTGCGTATCAATATCTTCCAGATTACGCCTTCGATGAACGACGAAATGTCATGTTTATATTCATGTTCTTTCTCATGCCAGTTTCTCACAAATGTAATTCGTCCTGTCGGTAGTGCTAATTTTCTTTTTATCTGTTTTTGAGTTAAACGCAAGACTCAAATTTACATAACCAGGCTTCTGATTTGCATAATCTCTCGGAAATTTTCATAATCACGTTAGTTTGCTTTCTACGGCTCATACTTTAGCCATACGAATCATAGAAGTTGATACGCCAGATTCTGCCGAGATAACTTTGGATAAATAAATTCCTCCTTAAGTTTTGGACCTCTGCGAAAATCTGGTATAGGGTGAAAATAAACTGCAAAATCGTTATAAACGAACGAGCGTTGTGTTTGAGAAAAACTACTTTAAAAACTAAGAAATTCTATTTGAAGACGCGCGACAACAAAAGATTGATGAATCCTTACAAGAATTTGCAATTCATATTGAAAGAAAACACATTTCGTCTTTACTAATAGTGTATCTGTTCTTTAAAAAATAAAAAATGACTCATATTATAGTTGGGCGTTGTTTCGCGTTTCACAAAAACAATTAGACTGAACCGTGCTTCCGCTAGATAAGTTACACAAGTTATTGTTAGCACAGTTGATTTTTCCCAATTCTTGTTTTCCCAAACCTAATAGCCATTATTAAGTAATATTAAATTATACTTGCGTATGCTCTAGCCTTGTGATATCATCTTTTACTAACATCTCTCTCTATCTATCTATCTATCTATCTATCTATCTATCTATATATATATATATATATATATATATTTGCCACTTGAAGAAATTTATAGCAGTTTACTTGCTCTCTTCCTAAATTGTTCCCCAAATTTCTAAAATATTAGATGCTGAAAAATGGCAACTTTTTCTTTGGCGTACTTTCCAATAATTATATTCAATTAAATAACAACATCTTTAAACAAATACAGGGAATACCTATGGGGGGGGCAATTTTTCAATTGAAATTTGTGAATTATTCCTTTTTACACAAGAATTGACTTTTGTACGTTCGCTCAATAATGAAGATCCTAACTATTACCAACACATCGTTCTATTGATAATGTAATAGCCTTCAACAACTTCAAAAAAGCTAATATATACCCTTCATGCCTGCAACTTTATACTACAAATACAGTGCAACATGATATAGTTTATCTTGATTTGCATATTATAGATTACAGTTTTTTGAAAATTTACGATAAACGAAGAGATTTCAACTTTCCTACACTTAAATTAACCAACTTGAATTCCAATATTTCTAAAAGAGTCGTCCTCAATACAATTTACGCACAACTGCTTAGAATTAATAGAATTTGCAATGCAACAAAACATTTCCAAGAAGTACTATACTTTATAACAATTTTGAAGAATAACCTAATTCCTAAAAAAGTAATTAAAAATACGTTAAAAGAAGCTGGCATTAACTTTATCTTTTAGATTTTTTGAGTTAGATAATGAAATTTTATGCATGGGACGGTGTAAAGTGGATGGCTGATTCAGAAGATCTCATGTATAAATGTATAAATAGTTCCTCTCACAGCTTCAATTTTTACTCATAAAATTTGGCACAATACTTAATTCTATTCTTAAATACATTATAAGCATTTACTGGTCATTTCTTTCCTGTTAGTAACTTATGGGCCATTTCGTTTCTGGAAGCTTGATCGCTCTCTAGCTTGAAGAACTTCGACTTTAATTAATAAATAGCTATTTTTCATTATTTCTTCGCACTTTTGTGGCTATATTATAGCATTTTGTTGAATTAGGCATTTTTTCTTTCACCCGCGCCCAACTTTCTTCAAACTCGTAGAGCAAGACGCTATCTTGAACAGCTATTGCATATTTCAAAGCATTGATCCCCCTTACACTGAGTCAGGTTTTTACCAACGGTCAGCTACTTTTCATTGGCTTTTTCCTCATGACGTTTCTCCCCCTTTTTACATTATACTGCCATGTTAGTTAGCAGCTTGCTAGCTCAAGGCTTGCACCCCCTTCTGAGTTTAATCATTCCTGCTATGAAGACGTCGGCTTTCCAGGTCTGGTTTTTAAAAAATATTTCTTTCTCTTGTGTTGATTTTTGGTCTTACATTAAATTCATCTGTTTTATTATTATTATGCTAAATTTAATTTTTGGTACTTTTACAAAGTTTAAACTCTATAAGCTAGTAGGTCCTCCCATAAAAACTTGTATATTTTGACTAATAGCAAATCTCTATTTATTTTATTCTGTACAATGGCATTGCCAATACATTGTCTATAGTTTTTATTACACCTTAATGTGTTTCTTCAAGCGGACGCCTCGGGAAATTGGAACAGAGAATTAAAACTAAAGGTTTTGGCAAAAATGTTTCAATTAATTTATAAAAAGTGTTTCGTATACAGTTTCAATTATCTGTTTCGGCGAAACGCGATCTGGAGTTAGCTTGATTCGAAAATCATTAATAATAATTTCCCCTGAAAAGCCATAAGGAGATTCGAATTAAGCTAATCTACAATTTACCGCTTCTTAGTTTTTTTATTTTTGCTTTAATCATTTGTCGCACTTTAATTCTTATGTTTAAAATATGTCTTACTTTGATTAGCATATTGCTTACAATTAGTATTTAATTTTATTTTTAAATATTCAAGTGTTAGTATTGTTTTTTTTTAAATATTTATAACACATTTCATTGCACCTTATTTTACTTTTGTTAATATTTTCACGGAAACACAGTATCTAAGAAACTTTTTAGCGTACGAACTAGGAAATTTCTTTTAACTTTTTCCAAAATTTTGCAGCTCAATGCGCAAAGTTTTTGACCACATAGGTCTTTTATCGTTTGTTCTTTTTGCTTTAATTAGCTATATATATATTCCATTTCCTTTCTTCTAAGTTTAATTAAAAATTTTATTAATAAAAATGTTTTTACTGCTTTAAAGACTAAGAGCCTTTTTTATAGTTTTAAAGACTAAAATTTCATTAGCGTGCTTTAATAAACTTTCTGCTGCATTTTGTAACTTTTTAATTCGCAAATTAAGACCTGAGTATATGACGTGTTATTTGTATATCCAAAGTAGAGTATGCATTTTCTTAGATCCGTTTAACTCAGACACCTGAAAACTTTTAAACAAATGCTGCTTCAAAACAGCAACATAGATAAAAAGTTAGCACAGACCTTCTAAGCCAGTTTGCACCTTAGATATTTGCCGAACACTTTCCATCCATGCTTTCTGCATCTTTTCCATTTCTTCAACAGCCTTCTTCAAATCACTTACGACGTGATAATCCTCCGGATAGACTACCTCTGTAGCCTCATCCTGACCTGCAGAACTTCGTTCTTCGCTCCCTATATCCTCTCGCATCGAATCCAATATATCCTTCATGTCGCGCTGCTTCATCATTACACCACTCACTCGCAGTTCCAAGTCTTTAATTTTATTGCTTAATACATTTAGAGAAGCCAAAATGTCATCATTACTTTCCAATTCCATATTTTTGTTTTCTTTGCCTATTGAACATAAAATCGAATTTCGATGTTTAAAGTAACGATACCAGCATATAAATTTATGCATTCACGCAACTCTCGAAGGGACTGAAATTTAGTTTAACAGCTCCTCCACATACACACACACACACACACACCACAAAAAAAAAAAAAAAAAAAAATTAAAGATATAAATTTTCTGCATTTACATATAAAGAACATTATGACTTTTCTGGAGCAGAATGGGTAGAAATGAAGGCAGTTTTCCAATTTTATTGTAAGAAACTTAATGTTAAATACGACTGACATACACGTAAATCACGGAAGCATTTCAGTATTCAGCTTCCTAACTTAAAATATAGTAAACAGATTAAATCCTTAAGTGAAATGCTTTTAACAAAATAAATATAACATTTAATGTATGTACATGGAAAACGAATTTTTGCTTTAACTTGCTGCATAAATGTGAAAAAGGTGTTTCTAGAATTAAAAAAAGAAAACTAATAGCAGAATAAAAGTAGTATGTTTTAATTGAAATTACTAACTAAAGAAGAACTACAGCTTTAGAACAACAGCATCTCAAAGCGCGATCTCCTAATGACGACGACACTCACTGTTGCCAGACCTTATTAACTAAATCGTGCATTATAAGACCAAAGAGGCAATTGCCCAGAAGGACTATTAATTTCGTTTTGGCATTTTGCGTTGATTCATTATAAACGTTGATTAGCTTTTTAAATTGTTGCCACCAAATATTAGAGCCCTGTATTATATTTTAAGAAATTAAATAATGAAGAATCTGCATAAATGTATGAATGTTTCTCGCACTGTGATAAAACGGCAGTACCTAGAGCCATCAAATTTAGAATAACGTACGTCTCCACCGGAATATGGCCATCTGGAAGCGCAGATTTTGAATTTGGAATTGGTTTTATTATCTATTTCATATTTTATGAAACTTTAACGAGTTTTTGATTAACAAACTCAACGATTTTAAAGCGAATAATGGCAACACCGTACGGAAAGAATTTTTTTTTTTTTTTTTTTTTTTTTCTCCAGCGCGCGAGACTGTGTATCGGAAATTCTAGACATGCTCATTTTAAAATTATTTTACGATGTTGCTCTTGAATTGAATTTTATGGTTTAAGTGCGAAGAACATGATATTTAATAAGTAAAAGTAATACACAAAACGTTAAAAAACGTCCCTTTGGGCGTAATGTAAAATCTGAATGCTTTCAGATTTTATTCATTTTTAGCCAAAAGAGCGTTAGCCCAGGAGGGCTATTAATTTCGCTTTGGCATTTTGCGTTGAAAATTTTAAATGTCGGTTCACTTTTCAAATTGTTGCCACCAAATATTATCGCCCTGTGCTTTATTCAAAGAAATTAAATAACAAAGAATCTGCATAAATGTATATATGGTTCTCTCATTGTGATAAAATAACGGTACCCAAAGCCATCAAATTTTGAAAAACGTAATCTTCCACCGAATATGGGCATTTGGAAGCCCTAATTTGGAATTTGAAATGTGTTTTATTATCGATTTCTTATTTTGTAACACTTCAACGAATTTTTGATTAACAAACTCAACGATTTCAAAGCGAGAAATGGCTAAACTCGCTTTGGGAAAAAAAAAAAAAAAAAAAAAAAAAAAAAAAAAAAAAAAAAAAAAAAACATTTACTTCTCCAGCGCACTAGATTGCGTATCAAAAATTTTAAAGATATGCTCATATAAAAATTATTTTGCTATATTGCTGTTGAATTGAATTTTATGATTTAAGTGCAAAAAACATTTACGCAAAAGGTTAAAAAAAAGCTCCTTTAGGCATAATGTAAAATCTGAAAGTTTTCAAATTTTTATAATTTTTATTATTATTCTCTCTTTTTTATCATATTTTAAACAAAATACTCATAACCCAACAGTATACATTATTAATAAATATTCCATGATTTGTATATATTTGTGAATTTATGATTTTTTCTATGAATTTTAGCAGAACTGCTAATACAATATGCCATATATTTTGAATGTGTCATATTATTCGTTTTTTACCTAGCTTACCATTTATATTACAAATTTTTTTACGCATGCAATTTGCAAGGTTTCTTGCGTATAGAATGATAATGAATGATCTGCGTTAGTGTTAATGTTGTTCAATTATTTTTGGCTAATAAATTGAATTCGTCCACAATTCGGAATAATGTGTACTACACATTAATATGAAAAAAATCTGATTTGCACTCCACATGACTTCCTTGTACGGAATATTAAATTAGACTCATTTTTTCCTGCATTTCATTGAAACGTATTGAATTTAATTAAATATACTTTGTCGATAGCGCATAAACCAAAACAGAATAAATGCGCTTTAAAAAATTCACTATATTTATTTATCGTAGCGATACTCTGGCACTAGGTTCACTTAACAACGTTATATCTCATTCATTTTATAACTCAGAATGAAATATATATATATATATATATATATATATATATAGAATATATATTTCTTAGGTGAGTAGTCGTGAATAAAGCGAGAGTGGAACACTTTAAAAATTTGTGTTGAAATATGTTAATAAGGCTTGCCTGCCACTGATGTATGTCTAAAATCTCCAGAAATGCTAAACCGGCAGGAAATGTCAGCTTAACATCTTTAGAAATCTTAATGACCCTATATATATCTAATTTAAAATGCAAATGCAAATAAACAGTAAAATAAATTTGGTGGTAGGAGTGAAGAAAATATTTTTTATGCTTTATTCATAATTGGAAAATGTACTGCTTTCCCCGACTGCATTATGTTTGATTACATCCTCAAACGTGTTAAACGATCCTTTGAACATCTCAGCTTTCATCCAGGGAAGACAGGTATTATTAGTTAGTATCGATTTCCAAATCTCATTGTTTGCTAAAATAAACTTTTACATTCAAATAGAATTTTCTGCTGAACTGTGGTTCAGATTAATAAAAAGAAATGTTGGAGTTCATTTTATTTAGGGCTTTGGTGAGCACCAGTTAGAACTGCGATTTATCTCAAAGACTGAAAAGTGCGAGAGGTTCCGGAAGACTCAGGCAGAATTTAAACACCAAGTGGAAGTTTTAACTGCTCTGTAATCACATTTAAATGGCATTTCCTTTGTTTCTGTTTCATGTATCTTTGAAGTTTATCCCGTGAATTGCATTACATGTTCAGCAAATGATCCATAGAGATTTGCAAAGTATTGAAAATCGTATCTTCATTTTTTTAGAACTTTTTGCGAAATTTCTGTGAAACTTCATTGCAAAAAATGAGCACAAATAGAAGCATATGTAATTTTCTCCTCCATTGTTGGAGGCCCATTTTCATTGAGCCTAATTCAGTCTGTGCCATACGCAGTTTTACACGGCTAATCCGGCAGCAGAAAATTGACCTGCTCGCCTAAGACATTCTTACATTGTTCGCCTAAGCCTCACTAAAAAAATTAAATTTAAATTACACGATAATTGTATCTTAGAATGAAAGTCAAAGCGTCCAATTCAGCAATGCCGAGAAAATTTGTTTCCAAAAAAATTATTTCAGTATAAACATTTCGCAATACAAACGGTTAGGAACAATACTGGTTAATTTCTAACGAAAGTAATCAGCAACTAGTCACAAAAATTATTTCACGGGGTTCTGACAATTTTATTTTTATGGAGCATGTATTTGCATATTGCATTATAGTCGTTTATTAACCTGTAGTACAAAGAAACAAACACGTAAGTTTAAAAGAAGAAGAATAATTCCTAATGATATTAAGACATTTAAATATGATTAGGCCTGCTGAAATTTTTATAGAGATTCATGCGACACAATGTATGGTTTTGGTAATTTCAGCCTTCATGTATATCTGCAACTCAGCAGCCCCTGTAAAAGTCTATGATACGATGTACACGAGATTGATGAGGCCTGTTACAGCGGCCTCATCATTCTCGTGTGGCCCTGTAAAAGTGATGAGTAAGAAGGAGATGCCTCTCTTAATAAAACAGAGGATCCTCACGAAGATTTTAATGGAAGGGTGTAATTAAGGCTTTCAAACTTCGACCATGTTTCATAGATATAGAAGAACTATATATGTTACGGTTAGGAAAGTGGCACACACTGCAATATCCTTATGGTAATTTAGCGTCATGACACCAGTTCGTGACTGAATGTTCACCCAAATTAAAATAATGTTTGAAGAGCAGCAAAATAGCTTTCAGAACGCTAGGAAAGATGCATTGCATTGCAAGAGTTGTATTTGAATGGGTGGTCATCATAATACCCATACCATTTATAAAAAACATCGCATAATAAGAGCAACCATAGCAAAATATGGTTCTTTTCTATTATCGGGACTGGATTAAGAAAAGCACATATGTGGAATGTATGTGTGCGTGTGTATGTGTGTGTAGACACACATACATACATTCCTGAATCCGGTCCCGGTAACAGAAAACTACCCAAAGTGTGATATCCCAAGATATCAATCTCTTCTGCAAGACAACAGAGAAGCAACTGCTTCAAAAGTCCTTAAAGTCTGAAAAATTCAAAGGTTAACTCTTACATTTATGTAATATTTACTTATTACATAAAATAAATAAATAGACATAGAACAAAATATTTCATTTATGCTACACATTTTATATTCGAGTTAATGAGTGATAAAATGATTTCAATTTTCACGATGGAGGCCAGAATTAAAAAAAAAAAAAAGACTTACAGTGGAGTATCCTAGCTAGCAATTTCTTAATGCTCTAAAAATAAAAGATGCAGGCTTTTAAAATTTTAATTTTATAAAATAAAGAAGGCCGAAATGATAAATAGTAGAAGAGAAAAATTTGAATTTGTTTCTGGGAATACTATGAAATTAAAAATCCGCTGAAGGTCATTATAAGAGCTGCGTTTTGCTTCATGTGCGCATGAGGCAAATTCTTTCCTCTGCCACGAACAAAAATAATTTATTAGCGAATTATATTTAGTTAGCATTAAATATCTCATAAGCATGCATAAATATATTGCATATAAGCGGTTTATTTTCATATTTTAATGAAACATTTACTGCAGATCAACTTTGTTTTACTTGTTTCTGCTATCATTTAATTATTTCAGTAGTCTATCAAAATTTACAAGATACTACAGAAGTCTGAAATTAATAAACCTTTTTTTTATTAGTCCAAAGGATTTTTTGCCATGGAAGGACTATTGTTTTCGTTTTGGCATTTTGCGTCAAATCACGATAAACGGCGTATCACTTTTCAAATTGTTGCCACTAAATATTAGTCTTATATTTAAGAAAATTAAATAATGGAGAATCTACGTAAATGTATGTATTATATTTCTCGCATTGTGATGAAACAACGGTACCTAGATCCATCCAATTTTGAATGACGTAATCCTACTGCGAATATGTGTGGCATCTGAAGCCCAAATTTGAAATTTAGAATGTGTTTTATTATCGATTTCATGTTTTGTAGCCCACCAGCGGCCGAGCGGTAAAGTCGCTGAACACTGGTAGTTCGGTCCGAGGTTCGAGTCCCGCGAACGGGCTGGCTGCATGGGCGTTTTCGTGGTTTTCCCCGTGTGTAACGTGTATACGAGCCAGTTTCCCTTAGAAAGTCCTCCACCCTAGTGTGCTTTGCCATAATTAAATACACCATACCATATTTTGTAAAACTTTAACGAATTTTTGATTAACAAACTGAAAGATTTAAAAGCGAGTAATGGCAACACTCTACGGGAGAAAACATCCTTTTTATCTCCAGCGCGGAACTGGGAATCGGAAATTCTAAAGATATGCTTATGTTAAAATTATTTTGCGATACTGCTGCTGAACTGAATTTTATGGTTTAAGTGCAAAGAACACGGTATTTAATGAATAAATGTAACACACAAAACGTTAAAAAAAATGCTCCTTTGGAAGTTATTTAAAGTCTGAAACCTTTCAGATTTTTTTGTTCTGTTCTTTTTTTATGTTTATATTTGTTATATTTTTGACTAGCAGCTACGCAGCCAGCCTTCGTCTGGCTTTGAAATGTATCGGAAAAATGCCTAATAAATGCCAAACGTTAAATTTTAAAACTGTGCAGAATTTTACTCTGTAGAACAACTTCATCAATTTTTTTTTTAAATGTATTACATATAACAAATTTACAATGAAATAAGCAATATCCCTTAATTAATACAAACATTAATTATCCTAATAAAAAATAACCAACTTCCCGTTGCCTTCTCTCAACAAACGTCCAGTATCCAAGAGAAACATTAAATTTAAAAATTGCACAGAATTATCGCCCTCATTTTTCCAGGTGGCAACGTGCTGATTTTCAACTGTCAGCAGTCCAGTATACAATTGAATGAAAAACTGTTGCCCAAACCATGTTTCTAAAAGAATGAAACTATTCAAAATAATACGATAAAATCGAAAAGATAAAATAAAAAATAATCTGATTCGAATTTTGAAAAAATCGCTTCGAGGTGCACTAGCTCTTGTCTAGATGCATCTATATACCAAATTTCTTAGCCCTGGGTCTAGTAGCTTACGCGCAGCACGAACGAAAGGCACACAGACTCTTTCTTTTATTATGTGTAGAGAGTAGAGATGAATTTAATTCTATCGAAAATTTTTACCATTCTGCAATGTATTAGCTTTTCCTCATTCTTCAGTGCTCATGCGATACTCCATAATCACTTATAGCTCAGATCACAAGTGCCGGTCGTTGAAATTTCTACTCATACAGGGTATTCATAAAAGATCTCAATAAAATATGAGGAGCGGTATTATACAGAATGTCCCGTAAATGTTGCGACAAACTTCTGGGGGAGGTAGAGCACATCATAAGGATTCAGAATTGCATAGGAACCTGTGCCCGGAAATGTGAGGGGTAAGTGGTAGCAGAGGTAGAAGATGGAAAAAGAAACAAGAGTGATTAATTTGAAACATTTATCGGACATGAATATAAATGGTGTACGACAGCTTGGAATATTACAACAGATGTTCGAAGTTTGCAGCATGAGACGGCAAACATACCTGACACCGACTTACCATTGATTGCCGGACATGTTCAAACACACCGGGAGTTTCTTTGATTGTAGCAGCTGCGCAGGCGAGTTTTGCCACGAGATCCACTTCAGACATAATAGGATCGTGATATACACGACACTTTTCATGGCTTCCCATTAAAAGAAATCAAGGCTCAACTGGTCCACCATGCCCAATCCATCAATGCGGGAATGACCTGTTGAAGCGGCTACGAACATCCAGTCCAAAATGAGTGCACTTCTTAATGACCCGTAGTCGCAGAAATTTTGATGCAGAGATGCAAACAAGCTGTGGTATGGTTGATGTCTGTCGGAGAAGCGTTTTCGATAAATGCGTGCAGCGGTTCGTCCATTAACCTCAGCTATTCCATACACTAAGTGCATGTCCGCAAGCTTTCGGTTCGTATAGCGTTCCATGACTGGAATGAAGCAGTCCTCGAATATCACACAACTCCCACTCGAAAGAAGCAATCCTCACTTTCCGCTAACTCGTTAGGTGCCTTCAGCCTCCGTGGGTGAAGGTTGCTCTATCTTTGCTCTCATGGCGAGCCATGATCCTAATTCAATTAGCTCTTCCGCCGGACAAATGCCTTTCTGACTGGACTGCACCCTACTGATGAATTTCAAGAGGATACGGTTACTGTTATGGACAATGGCGCCTTGATTTGAAAGCTCTCTTCTCGACCTGCATATGTAAATTATGATGTTGGACACTAAAATTGACCAGATGCAAACAGATGACACTAAAATTGACCAGAGCAAACAAATGAAAATTCAGCTTGTACAGTTGCGCGCCTCCAACCTGCACGCAACAAAGTGGTGACTGCTGAAACTGGAAATTAGACAGAGTCTTGAGAAGGTTTTAAGTCCCTTTTTATTCAACTTTAGAAATTACAAATGCGTGCTCTTGACGCTCACAAACTACGCCGACCCGGCGGTAAAATAAAAATAAGAAACTAAAAAGAGATAATAACAAGAGGCTAACTACGAGGCTCTCTAAACGTAACTAACCTCACCGCGTTCTAAAGTACCGCTGATAATTCAGCAAACTCTGAATACCACGTTGAAAGATTAATAATTTGCCGAGGCAAGCCCACAGGCCGAAACGCGTGGTTCTTCAATTTCTAACTAGCCACCTCCGCGCTCGTGAAGTAAGAAAGCACACTTCGAACTCGTTTCCTTTCTATTTAACTCATAATACTTCCGCTGATAATTAGAATCCTTGCGCGTTCTACTAAAAATTTACATACTCTGGCATTGTCAGTTCCAGGGGAAAGTAAGGCTTGACAGGAGAGATAGTTTAAACTTAAAATAAATGTTAGTTAAATATAAACCCTACAAGCTCGATGCCAATAGACCAGTTTCAGCCTCTGATAAATATACTGAAGTATAGCCAAGAATATTCGAGACCTCAAGAAAGGAAAGGAGCACCTTATAGGTAAGCGAGATTTCCTACTTTCTCGGTGTGCTTACCTTCTTCCTAAACCTGCTAGCAATGTAAATTCAAATTCTCAAAAAAGAAAAAAACAGAATACCTCAGATTTCTCAGATGATAACCTTAATCAAAACGATGGATTTATCAAACCCACCAGAGTAGCTAAAACAGGTAAAAAAATTCATACAACTCAGAATGTTTATTACCACAAAAAATAAGTTCAGCTCTCTAACTCAAAATAGCTCTTCCGATAATTTAGTTTATAACGTTGCGCGCCTCCAACTTGCACGCAACCAAGGGTGACTGTGAAAGCTTGTATAAACCACAGAGTCTTGTAAAGGGTTTAAGTCCCTTTTTATTCAACGTAATAAATTACAATTGCGTCCTCTTGACGCTTACAAACTGTGCCAACTGGGCAGTCAAAATAAAAATAATAACCTGAAAAGAAAGTAAAGACAAGATTCTAACTACGAGGCTCTCTAAAATAACTAACTCACCGCGTTTTACAATACCGCTGCTAATTCAGCAGACTTGAAGCTCACTGGAACGATGACCACTCCTTCCCGCCAAGCACATAGGCCGCAACGCGGGGTTCTTCAATTCTCGCTAACTACCTCCGCGCTCGCTAAGTAAGAATATCACACACCGAACTTGTTTCCTTCTATTTAAATCATAATACTTCCGCTGATAATTTGAATCCTTGCGCGTTCTACTCAAATTTACATATTCTGGCATTGGCAGTTCCAGGGGAAAGTAAGGCTTGACAGGAAAGATAGTTTAAACTTAAAATAAATGTTAGTTAAAATAAATATAAACCCTACATTTGCCGCTGCCAGAATTTGGAAAACTTGGAAGCAGGTCCTACAAACGACCTGTTGTAAGTTTATCTAATTCTGAACTAACTGGCGAGAACCTCGTTTACACAAAAAAAAATCTTATGTAACAATTATATATTAAAATTCTGTTACTCGTTACAAAGCTTTCTTCTTACAGCAACTTTTCCTGGACTTCATCAATCAATCTTGGTCTTTCCTTCCAGCATCTGGAAGGAATAAGTATCAGTATCTTTCTAATACATTATAATTTACACTTTCTTGACACAATAAATTTTTGTTTTTAAACGATTCGTTTTTCTTAGTTATTGCTTACTTCACATTCATTCAATTTTTCAAGCATTAATTTAACTTTACCCTGGCTCTCCACCGTGTGTGGTGTCAAACGGGAATATTCGTGTTTTAGTCTTACAACACTTCCCCTAACCACCATGATTTGTTAGAATTCAACAACCAAATAGACACACCTTACTCGACATTCTACAACTCAATGAGCTACTTTAATATTCTTAAAAATTCAAATGTAGGTGGAGAACCCTACA